CCCCCAGAGCTATGGCTAAGTAGCTGTGGACCTGAAAGGTTCATCGGAAAAGGAACTGACCTTGAAAAACACATCAGAGAAAGAACACTACACTACGATGCAGAGGTTAAAGCAATAACTCATCAAATGAAAAGGTAAGATAATAAACCTGGATGGGAGGACAGAGCAATAGACGTCTGAGGGAATAGTGCAGAAACATGCAGACTCATGCATGCGGTCAAATGCGCTCACTTGTCTGCAGAGACAGACACCGTGGGTCTGTTGACTCCAGTCATCTGTGTTTCCCCAGACAGCAGGGCCGTCCGCCAGGCCCCTCTGACGTCTATCCGCCCTACCACCAGCCCGCAAGGCACTCTGTGGGGGCGGGGCGGGGCGGGACCTGGCCTGGGCCGGAATGGGTGGATTTAAAGGTCCTCAGTGTAGATAATGCAGGGGCTGTTGTCCTCTCTGGAGCGCAGTTGCACACTGGCGATGAAGCGGCGGCTGGCGGCGGTGGCATTGTAGTGCAGCGTCGTGCGGTACGTCCGCTTGGCGTGCTTGGGGAACACGATGGTGACACTCTGGTAGTGCAGCGGCCGCTGGCGCGGCTCCAATTGCACCTCTGACTTGTAGCTCCGCCACGTGCGATCACGCAGTGCCACCACTGTCTCACTGTAGCCCGTCACTGTCGGAACCGGTGCACAGTACACCTGGTCGCGGAAGCGCCTGTCCGAGTCGTAGCGAACCTCTGTGCTGCACCTGGGAGATGGAGAGGATACTAATCTGCTCAGAGAGACTCTGTCCTTCCTTCCAAGAGAAGTGCAGTCGGTACAGAGGGGATCAGTTGACAGCCAATAGGAAGCATCGATTCACTGAGAGCATGCTGAACCACTGATCTGACCTGACCATACACAATGTACAATGTCCAGTATGCGGGGTTATGTGGACACATAATGCAGACCTTCATACCCATTCATATGTGCTCATTTTTTTTGGACATTTTTTGCAGAATACCAGAGGGAAAACCACACACACATACACAGACACACTTTGCACACACACACACACACACCACGCACAAATATACAAACACAATGCACACAAACTGCCTACACACACATTGCGCACACACACACTACACACTGCACACACACATACAGACACACACACTGCACACACACATACAGACACACACACTGCACACACACATACAGACACACTGCACACACACACTACACACTGCACACACACATACAGACACACTGCACACACACATACAAACAAACAGCACACACACATACAGACACACGAACACACAGGATTCAAACCCACGATTCAGGAGGCCACCACCCCTCTGCTTTTCATTCAAACTTTTTCATCCAATACAAAATCCTTTTAACAAAATGTGTATCTAATTCTAGACCTCTGTGCACATATAAGGCTTTGCAGAGGGCAGCAACAGCAGCATTCCAGCCCTAATGCCCAACGCAGCAAATCGTGCCTTTCTGCCCCAGACAGGACACAGATATGTGTTCAGAGCACTTCCTGTGCCGTGCTCAGCCACACCCCTACGGCCTGTTACCTGATCTCCTGCTCCGGCTCAGGATTGACCTCAATGCTCTCTCCAAACACCATAGGGTACAAGCGGCTCTTGGCATCTGCCCCCGTGGAATTCAGCAGCAGGTATGGTAGCTGTGGAGGGACAAACTGTCAGAAGTCAATGGCCCGGGCCCTCACTCACACACCATGGACAGACTTTTGTCATAATTAAAGCCTTTACACCAGGGTTCTTCAAACCTGAACCTCGTTTCCAAATCCAGGCCTTGTTTTCTGTTCTTCCAGGTAGTTGTTTAAGAATTACTGATTCTGATTGGTCAGAGGCTTCACACCTGACTGACAGGTAAAAGAAGGCTGGAAAACCAGCAGCGGTTGGACCTCGAGGACCGTGATTTGAATTACCCTGCTTTACACCCTCTATTCACCAGCATTCTTAATCAAAACCACCAGATTGTGTAAATGGTTGCCCCTTGTAAAAAGCAAACCTAATGAAATCACCTGCAAGATAATTGAAATAATTTAATAATTACATATTATAATTATTACATAATTTAATAACATGTAATAATTAAAATTTAGTATAATATAAATAATTATTAAATTGTCACCATTGTTATGTTAAATAATTTAATAATTACTTTTATTAATTTAATCATTAATTTAATAATTTAAAGGAAATGCAACAATTAAAACAAACAATTAAGCAAATGTGTCTTGTTTCTGTTCCTCAATATAAATGGCAGGGTGAGGCACTCGGGCACTGGGATTCACACTGTCCACAGGATGGGTAAACCTGCTGGCCATAGTGTCCCCATCGCTGCACTGGGTCACTGGGAGTCTCAGTGCCCACAAGATGGTAGGGGTGGGTATTAGCAAGGACCTCACGATACGATATGTATCACGATACATGGGTCACGATACGATTAAATCAGGATATATTGTGATGCTATACATATTGTGATATATTGCAATATTCTACAGTTCACTGAAAATGTAAAAATAGAGCTGAAATACAAGTTGCTGTGTATGATCTGGGTGGTCTTAATGAATCACATTACATTAATAATTCAGCCAAAACAACATAACTCAATTGAATTTGAACTTTATTGTCTTTGCATTTTAACACACTGAACTAGTGGACACCAAAAACGTTAAGATAAAGTGCATAAGAATGAAAATAAGAAATTAAGGTGCCCAATCAGTTATCTTAGGCTGGTGTGGTGCTTGTAGAGGACTGAGCATATTAACTGTTCTTATAATGAAAATAAAACCGTATGATTAGAGCTGGGCGGCATGACCAAAAATTTATATCACGGTATTTTTCAAAGTTATATCGGTCACGGTATACGACTATTTTTTATAAAAACTATGAGTGGGCATTTACCACATTTTACAGGACACATTTTTGTTATACGTTTTTGCATTGTTCCCACATTA